GATGCAATCGCTCAACTTCCCTGGTCTTTATGATGACAAATGTGTCGTCCACGTAGCGGAGCCACATTTTTGGTTCGAAGGTGTGCACAACATCCTGTTCTAGTCGCTGCAAGACTAGTTCTGCAAGCAGCCCCGATATTGGGGAGCCCATTGGGGTGCCCTTTACTTGTTGATAGTACTTGCCATCGAACTGACAATAATTCTTGAGGCAAAGCTTAAGCATGTCTAGAACATGTTCTGTTGGAACGCCAATGGGACTTTGCTCTAGACATCGGGCTACGCTGTCAATCGCTAGGTCGTGTGGTATTGAAGAAAATAGGGCAACAACATCGAACGATAGGATGCATTCGTCAGGACTTACTTCAAGGCCTTGGATCTTTTGTAGGAAAGCCTGAGAGTTTTTGATGCAGTATCGCGATCCATTTGCGAGGTGCTTTAAGTGTCTGTATAACCACTTGGCAAGGTTTTAAGTAGGGGATCCAATAAGTGGTACAATGATCCTCAGCGGCGCATCTATCTTGTGCATTTTCGGAAGGCCGTACGCACGTGCTATACGGGGGTCATTGAGGGTCACAGATCTGCTGTCATCGAGGCTTATGAGCTTCAATCGGGCAAGCTCATTCACTTTCTTCTTGATAGTCGCGGCTTGCTTTTTCGTTGGGTCTGCAGCGGGTGGTGCATAGGCTTCCCTGTCATCGAAAATTTGGTTTGCCTTTTTGACGTAGTCAACTTTATCCATGATAACGGTTGCTCCTCCTTTGTCAGCAGACATAATAACTACTTTGTCATCTGTCTTTAGCGATTGCAACGCCTTTTTCTCTTCGGTCGGTAGGGTTTGATGATGTTTCCTTTGTCGGAGGAGACCAGTGGCGCAACTGCGAACGTCCGCACACATGTCATCTGGGACGTCGGAGGTCAGAAGGAGGGATTCAAGGTTGGCTAGGAAGTCCGTAGGTGCAGCATCGGTGTGACTGAATCTTATCCCCTTAGACAGGAGGCTGATTTCAGTGGAAGATAGGTCCCTTTTCGAAAGATTAACAACCTTCGTAGACATTCGGTTTTCGCTGGCCGTGCACAAAAGAGATTGTAATTTCTTTTGCAGGTCGGCCCGTTTCTTCATTCTGGCGTCTTTGGTGGTGGCGTTTATTCGGCGAAGTATTTCTGAAATGACGTTCTCAGGTAAGCATGAGACGCAGCGGCTTCTAAGGTCAGAAGTTGTTGCTTCAAAGCGGCAAAGGCGATGGTGGACGTCGGATATAACGGCGCTCAAGACACGAAATCCATACTTGTGCGCAAGTTGTCTTCCGGTCTCATTGGGTAGGGTGGGCTTGAATCGGAGGGACTTAGGCAGGACACCATGATCGTGACAGCGGTGGAGAAAAGTTAACTGTTCGTAAGTCGTCGCCTGCCTCTGTGCGAATTTCTCCCAACGTCTGGTAAGGATAAGCGTTTGACGCCCAGAAATATGATGAATAACTGATGTGGTGTGCATTCCGAGGTGATATAATGAGAAAGTGAAGGTCCTTCGAAATACTGAGTTGTACTCGTAAATTTTCAAGTCGGTGACACCGACCCGCAAATGGATCGCGATACAGCATCAAAAACTCTCAGGCTTTCCTACAAAAGATCCAAGGCCTTGAAGTAAGTCCTGACGAATGCATCCTATCGTTCGATGTTGTTGCCCTATTTTCTTCAATACCACACGACCTAGCGATTGACAGCGTAG